CCCCCCCCCCCCCCCCCCCCCCCCCCCCGCTCCGTTTCCTGGGTTCCCGCCCCGGGCCAAGATAGCTCTCACCACTCAGGAGGGTCTACAGGAGCACGACCAGGCTCCCCGTTCGCCCAGGACCTCGCCAACAAAAGGCCTACCACTTTGCAGGCTAGCCACCAAAACAAAGACACTCCCGCTGCCCTCTGCCCCGAGCACCCGACCCAGCGCCCAAACAGGCTGAACTGGGTGATCCCGTGGCCCCGCGGAAGGGAGAGAGAAGGAAGGAAGCCTCTGGGGGCAAGCTGGGATAGGCCAGGGAGAGAGAGGTCACAGCAGAGAAGGAGCAGCCCCAGCAGAGGGGGAGCAGCCTCCGCAGGCTGACCGGGGAGTCAAGGGAGTTGGGGAATGCCCCCCCCCCCCCCCCCCCCCCCCCCCCCCCCCCCCCCCCCCCTCCCCCCCCCCCCCCCCCCCCCCGCGCTCCGTTTCCTGGATCCTGCCGTGGGTGAAGAACACTCTCACCACCCAGGAGGGTCTTCAGGGACAGGACCAGGCTCCCCATTCACCAGGGACCTAGCCAACAAAAGGCCGACCACTCTTGCAGGCCAGCCACCAAAATACCTACTTGAATTAGTTGTAGTGGGACTATCTGCTCTCAGTGTGGGCTTCACTGTTTCAAGCTTGGGCCATCAAAAAATATAAGTTCGCATCTGTGCCACGTCTGCCACGTCTGTGCCGCATCCGCAGCTTTATCATATTTGTGTTATCACAAAAATGTTGTTTAATCTGAGTGCTAAAATACATGCCTTAGAAAACTTAATGAAACAGATCACAGAGATATTCAAACCCAGACAGAAGAATTTAATGGAGAACCAATTTCAGCATTGCATTATAAGAATAGAGAGGAACAGCCTAAGGTATTCAAACAACTAACCCTAATACATCTAGTATTCTTACAAGAATTGCCAAAAGGAAGAGTCTCTGTTACAGATAACTGGACTCCTATGCCAATGTTAGATTTAAGAAGTTTAAAGGGAGCAATAGTCTCATATGCATGCATTCACCTTTTGTGAAGCAAATGTTAAACTCGTGGTCAGTTTGCAATATCCCTAATGAGGGGATGGAGTTGGTTAATGGTGTTTTAGAGCCTGGTCCACAATTACAATTGAGTAGCTGGTTCAGAGAAGAGGCTAAGATTATTGAACAAGGGAGTAAAGCTAGAGGTAGGGAAATCTCCCAAGATCAAATTCTTGGAGAAAGAAAATATGCTACTGTAGAAAGGCAATCTCTGTATGATGGTCACATCCTGGCTTTATGCCATGCAGCAGCTTTGAATGCTTGGGATGGAATTGAAGAAATAGATGGCTTCTCAGTCCGCCCCCATTGTCAGCCACATTCAGAGAGTCCTGTTTGATTGCTCGTTCAGTCCCGGTCCAGCTGGATTTGGTGAGC